TACTAGAGAAGACTGGAAGCCAGGATAGATCCACCATAGCTCTTTGTACCTCGTAAAACTGAATTTATCATATGTTGTCTTTTGTGTTATTCCCAGGGCAAGCAGGTTGAAATATGTCGATGACCGGTTAACAATATATGATTGTTACTCCCTGAGAACTTTGGGTCATCTGTCGTACGAAATACTCACTCTCGGGAATATCATTAGACCCAGGACAAATCCCTGCTATTCTAATAACTACCTCTGCAACAATGCATGACGATGCAAAGGAAAGCTTGCAAATTGTGATCGACAACTCGGTAAAACTAGTCCGTTTCAGATCTGGCAATAAATGTTATCCATTGAACTCAAAGACACTTCAGTTCCTGAAAATAAAACAATGGTCTTCGTCCTTTCGTCTAAGCAGCAACGACAGTGGATACAGGAAACCTTCCGCCAGATTCCACGCTATTATCTCCTTCGTCAAGTAGCTTCCTGTCGTTAGCTTGGGTCGATAGTATAAGGTTTTCCACGGACGTGGCTCCAACATTTAGTGACATTGCTATAATGTCAAGTTGAGGGATGCTATAGAAGCGTATTGACGCGGTAGCTTGTTTCTGGGACACTGAAAAATTCAGCCGGGGTCTGTATTTCATTTAAATAAAACGCTGAAATCTGATGCGAGCAGCTATAAATATGGAGAATTTGCTGGTAATGGTCTTTGAAAATTTATCCATCTGATATGCTATGTGTTGAATGATGCGCATTTCACAAACAATTAGGTTATAGGCAGCTTTGCTGTCGTTTGGTGTAATACCACGCCTAACTAAGCGGGTCCACTCCATGTCCAGGGGGTTGATTTAACGGTTTCCGTCACTGATTGGCGGGTACTAGTGAATATTGCGTTTAACCCATTTTCTGTTCATCAAACTAAGTCGTGTAACAAAAGCAGTGGAAAAAACCCTCTTATAGGGAGGCATCCATAGCTGTAGACAGTATTCTAGGTGCCGAAGAAAAATAGAGATAGGAACGGGTAGAACCTCGGCAAACTTCAGTAGCTTTGTGTTATAAAAAGATGAGTTCTTCAGGCTAGAATAGAATGTCTTGTTGACCTTCAGTTATGTAGGCAAAGGGATCAAACAACGATCAACCGAAGTACAGGTAAGTTTGGCTAGAGCCACATTACGTACAGTAAGAGTTCAACTGAATCCATTTGAAAATGTGGCCGTATTGTAAACGGCCGGGAAATCTTTCTTCTGAATCCGTTGAAAGCCTTCTGACTCTGAGTAAAAGGATATGATAGGCTAAAATATTAATTTCGGTTGACTCATCGAACAAAAACCATGATAAGCATAGAAAAACATTACTTTAGGGGTGCTTTAATGCATTTCACAAAGTGAGCAATAGTTTCTACGGATGAAAGCACGTGGCTGTAATATGGACTCATATATATTAGTAATGTCTGACCACAGCGTATTCTTATAAAATTATCCGAGACAAGGTTTACTTGTTAATACGGATTTTATTCAGCCCAAACGAAACGTGTAAATTAACCTCAGTGGTGATTTGAGACAAAAGGAGAAGGCCCTGTACATAGGTTTAGCATTATCTAAATGGTGATATTTTGCAGAGATCAATCTCATCACATTACTGAGATAAGAAGTGAGGAAAAGAAGAATAATCACTCTTAAAATAATCCAACAAAATCAATATTTGCTTGAGGTATTTATTACACCACCTAAATGTCCCGGTTAGCACTTCTGAGATAGTATTCTTCAGTAAATGGTGGTCAGCTTTTGTCATCAAATGTTCATTGGATGACGTAGTCAGTCTTTTCACAACAGTGGTGTCGATCTAGAATAGTCTACGTTTAATGTACTCGTTCGTGGAAACAAATAACAAGTAAGAGCAGGTCAAAGCTTATTCTTAGAGTATAAGATATCCACCTCTAGAGCAACAGAATGTTTTATACTCTAATGATTTCTGACTGAAAATGAAATATTCTGTATGAGATTCTATTGGCAATAAATCCAGAGACCAAGAAGATGTATATGATGCAGAAGTTTAGATGAAGGAATGCACAGTCCTTAATCGTCCCTCGTTAGAAAAGCATATTTTATTGGTCATTTTGTTTAGGCTGACAATATGCGACTAAATGGGCTTCATTGATCGGTTAGACCGGACCACAATTCACTCACGCCGCACCGTGCTAACCATTGTACTGTATTGAAAGACTACATTTTACAGCCTGCCACAGGAGCATGGTGATGCATGATACATAATTAATTTGCAGGCAGTGATGAACACGCTTGTGACCTGCAGATGAACTGGCTTTGATGGGCGGAAGACGGTCAAAGATAGCCAAGCTGAAACCTGCTAGATGAGCATTAAAACCTCGGCCACAATATTTGGTTTCCCATTTGGGAGCTCGGGATCAGTGTGGTCGCAGACTCAGAGAAGACAACTGATTTGGCTGTTTTTATAAGCAGATGCGCTTATGTGTCTACTCAATTTCTCTGTAAATTTACTTGTGTTCCGTATATTTGCTCTAGTCCTCCTTTCAGCTTTCTGAT